CTGACTTAATAGCAAATTCATTCCTGTTTCCCACACAAAAGGTGATATTGTAAGAATAGTGGCTTTATGGAGAGGTTGGAGAATGAAAGGAAGGAACTGGTGAAAGAAAGAAAACGTTTGCGGCGGAGAAAAAAGACATATTGTTAGCATAATGATAATCGTAGTTGGGTAAATGGTAATAAGGGGTAACTGAATTTTGGATTTCTTCTGCGTTTTAAAGCGCGGTTAGGTTTTTTTAAAAGAAAAAAAGAGCTAGAAAAAAATTTTGATATTAAAGAACTTTATTATTTAAACCAGCTTTAGCAATTATTTCCAATCATTTCAACTTCACTTTTTTTATTTTTTCTCTTAAAAATTTTTATGAGGAAAAATTGCTTTAATTCTTTTGTTGTACCTTGTTTTATGGTTTATTTCTGTGAGAACTTCAAATGACATGTTGGATAAACTAGACGGAATTTACTACTGATGCACTTGCCTTTACCAACTTATCTGAACGTACAGCTTTCTCTGTTTTAATGAAATAGCAGAACGACATCACAGAAAAAAATGAATTACTAACTGAATAAGGTTTTGAATTATTTTTTTATGGTGCTCAGATCGACCTTTTCAAGGTGTGAATCAAAAGTGTTTTGCTTTCAGGACGCTGAGTCGGGCGTCGTCATACCACTCACAAAGAGATTCTACAGACTACCAGCATTCATTACCCGTCCGGAGCGAAGCAGATAGGGGTCCAGAGGTGGCGCTGCTTGTCATTGTCTTTCAATTTCCGCATTCTCAAATGAAATACGAAGAATTTTTTTGGTTTTTAGAATCAGCAAGTTGTTAATTAAAATTAAAAAACGTATTTATACATGATATAATCTTATCATTTGGTTAAAATGTGGTAAAATCCTTATTGAAGTGAAGTAAACTGAATGAGACGCTGAAAAGCGAGGAAGCGCGAAACTAATCTTTTAAACCATTTCGTATTCCCTGCTTTTTTCCAGCGCCAAGGCAGTTAGTACTTCTAAATACAATTTCTATAATAATCAATTTTTTGGTGCTAGAAAATTGCGAAATTTTCTTTTTGCAAAACAAGTAAAAAGGAAAAAACTTCATATTTTTTGACGGAACTAAACTTTTAGTGATGGTAATGACAAATTCATTTTCAATTATTTGGTTTACCAGGAATCGTAGTCTGTTTTCTCTTACTTCTTCAACTTTGTTTAGAAAAAACGCGTCAGAAACAGGGAACAAACAAAAATTTTTTTTTGCTTTTGTCTTGCTTGTTAGCGAAGGGATGCTATAGTGAATATGAAGTTTTTTGATAACAGTTCTAGCTAATGAAACGGGAAGCCTTGTTAATTCATTAATCGGGGGAGGCACGTGTTGCAGAGCACATCCCACTTTTTGACTTTGTTTTTCAGGTCTTACCACCTGAAAATAATCAGCCTTCTTTTGGGTCGCTGAATAAAACGAAGAAAAGCAGGCTGTTCAGGTACGGTAGCTAGGCCTTTATTCAAAGCAAGTTAAAAGTCAAGAATATGCTATTATCTTAGAAAAAAATTTTTTTTTGATTTTTATCTGTACCTGCAAAGACGACTCGCGTGTTAAGTATGCATTTTTGTAGGCAGTATCGGTCTATGTCGTCATCGGAAGAAGATTCGCCATCAACCTCAGGTTGGATGTACAAAGACGCTTCTGTAAGACGGCCTGATACCGACTTAAGCAGCGAAAAAGGTGGGATTGGAAGTATTCCTCAACATACCAGTGATATTTTAAGTGAAAAGTCTTGTTGATGTAGTTTTTTCTTTTAGTAGTTTTCTTCAAAAAAATTTTCGTTATTTAGAGATTTTTGATTGCCTAGTTGGAAAATGTTTACTCGAGTGCTTTCAGATATACTGCATTATATTTACGGGTCGGAGGATAATGACACATCTCGGAAAAGTAATTTTTTTGCTTTTCTTATAAGTTGGTTACTGCTGGTGATCAACCGATCACTTTATTTTAATCATGCTTATGTCTAACGTGTAGTTACTGTTTTTTATAATTCATGAGTTATCATAAATTTTTTCATTGATTAACAGTTACAGTACCCTGTGGCAGTGGTGCAGCATCGTTTGCGCTAAGATTTGGTTTAAAAAGATGTGGCCCTTAATAATTTTAAGGAAATCAATGTTTTTGTTTTCAGTACTCTACTTGATGTCTTTGAGTAGCACGCTAAGAAGAAAAAACTAAAAATGAAAAACAATAGTGTAAAAAGACTTTGTGTTTTATGCGTACTGGAAAGTATAAAGTCAGCAGAAAGGGCTGAAAAGGGTTAAAGAAAAGGAGAGGGGTTGGTCGCTGGAAGTGAACTTGGGGGAGGGGGGAGGGGGAAAAGTATTTTGATTACTTTCTAATGCGAGGAGTGTAATCCTGCTGCTTGTGATTAATGGATCCGTTATGATGTCTGCTGCAGATTGCTTTTAGATCAAACGGAAAAAAATCTTTGCTGCTTAATTACTGCTAAAGTTATTAATAAAATAGGGGTTCCATAAAAAATTATCTAGGAGTATTCCTATCTTCTGTCTTCCTTTCTCTTCTTCAATTTTCTCTACATATATATTTATATATATGTTTATATTTATACTTTTATACTCATACGTTTATATCTTTGTACTTATTTCTTTATACATGAAAGCAATATGAAGTTTGTAGTTTGCAAGACGGGAAATGATTTCAGTTTATTCGTTTCACTGTTAGCAACAAGCTTTTCTTAGCCTAACAACAAGTTGAATGTCGTTGTTGATGATGACGACGTGGTAAACTGCCTGACGATAATAATAGTTGATTGAATTCTAGACTGAAAAGAGGTTTTTTGTTGATATACAGCCTTCAATGTTACAATTCGTTAAAAATCTACAGTTACTCAAAACGTCGTTTTTTATTTGATTTGTAGCGTTGGAACTTGCATTCTAGATCCGGTGGTTGAGTTGTAAATTTTTTTTTGCTTTAAACCTTTCCGATTAACCCACTTAAAGAACTTTTTCATTCATTTCGTTTTTGGCAGTAAGCATTTTTGAAAACTAAAACCTAGTAAAGAAGTTTATTAACAAAAACTGGAGAAAATAATTTTAGCTCAGCGTTCCACTGAAAGTAAAAAGATGCTTCAAAAGAAATCAAAAAATGTGGAATACGTTAAGTTTTTGCAAATATTTTTCCTAACTTTTTTCAAATCTTATTCTAAAACTCTTTATTGTGCAGTTCCCCTTTGAAGTTTTTACCTGGTAGTCTTTTGGTTTGTTCTTCACTCACTATTCCTCATTAAAAATTGCGAAGATCTGTTTTTTTTTTCGGTTTGTAAGTCGGTATTTTGGTGGATTGGTTTTTTGTTGCTTGTTTAAGTTGTTTGAACGTATTTGTTGGTAAATTGAAGAAAAAGTTAATTTTCGCTGACTGAAATCAGAAAAATTTTTCTAGTCACTGGTGTAGAAATGTGCAAGAAAATTTGGCGAAGGATTTGGTTATAGCTGTTTTAGTAATAGCCAAATTGAACAAATTAACCATAATGCTTTACTGGAAAACTTTATCACTCTTGTCAGTCTTTAATCAACAGTGACATTTTTGCCGTCATAGCTCTCCAGTTTTCCACCCCGCGATCACTGCTATTCCGTTTGTTTTCGCCACTCTCGGCCGCCGCTCCTCGTCCTCAGCTCTACTCTTCACTCCCTGTCCTATTTCCCTCGTTTCTATTCGCTTCCTACTTTTTACTGTTTTCTTGCTGCTCTGTCCTCGCTTCGGAAGCTTTTTTCATGTCAAAAGTAAAGTGAAAATAACGATATTGATAATAAGAATAAAAGTATTAATGACAAGAGTAATAGTAATAGTAATATTAATCGTAAAACTATTATTTATATTAAAAATTATATCAGAAGTGTTGACAATATTAATAATAATGTCAGTAATGATAGTAGTAGTGACAGTAGTATGACACCAATAATAATAACGGTAATAATAATTAATGTAGAAATAATATTAGTAATAACTATAATAATAATAATAATAGTAATAGTAATAGTAATAGCAATAATAATAATAATAATAATAATAAT